GTACTCGTCGTCTTCGTCTAAAATGTAATTTATCTTCGTTCCGTAACTTTCTCTCAGTCTAAGCCTCTTGCTCTGTGCTTTGAAGTTGATTTCCCTTACTGATAAGCATCGGTCGAAAGTAAATTTTCCGTATCCATTTTTGTGACAGGTTCTGCTTTTTTCAATTTAATGGTTTCGCCATTTTATTTTAGTACACTTCGTCTTCGTCTAAAATGTAATTTATCTTCGTTCGGTAACTTTCTCTCAGTCTAAGCCTCTTGCTCTATACTTTGAAGTTGATTTCCCTTAGTGAAAAGTATCGGTCGAAGGTAAATGTTCCGTATCCATTTTTGTGACAGGTCATGCTGTTTTCATTTTAATAATACTTCAGCTGATTGATATTGCTACAATACTCGGAAACAAGTGGCCAAGCTGAAGATGAGAAATCTTACTGATTTGCAGTGCGACTTCAGGTCGAAACAGATCTGGTGGATGATGCTCTTGTTTAATACGGCATTTAATTTGTGTTTTTCAGGTACACACCAACATCTGTTGTGACTGTCTTAAAGGATGTTTCAAACTGGAATCACCACCTTCCTTTTTCATTTCTAGGAAGGTAGATCCCGTGAACATACGACTTCGGATGGTGCATACCGTTACATGTAAGTAGTTTATCTCTTATAATACATCTACCTTCTCATTAGTTTACTTATTTACATATTAAATCCGTCTGTAAAGACGGTATGATATCCGAAATTTCTGCAAATCTTGAACATCATAAAGAAGCACTGTATCCATTTAAGCGCGCTTCTGAATATACATCAATGTGGTCGTTCAGTGTTCGTCTCGGTCTGTGTTCAAATCTAGGCCAAGGTTAGAATTAGAATGATGACACACAGCCCAATCCTTCGGAAAATATGAGGAATGCGATTGTCGTAAATGGGGAGAAAATCGATCTTGCACTTAAAGACGCCATAAAAGCACACGCCCATTCAAGGCATTTTGAGGAGGAAAAAAAATGGTTGAAAATAAATGATAGAGATACTGCTGCCTTTATAAAATTATTTCTATAAAATTTTATTTGGCACGCTTTAATAATAATAATAATAATAATAATAATAATAATAAGAAGAAGAAGAAGAAGAAGAAGAAGAAGAAACAGTAAATGTTATTGACCCAATATTTAGATGAACAACGGGTTGAGGTTATTAACTATATAGTGCGCTGTTGTCCAATCCTATCACAGAAGGAATACAAAGATCAATTTCATAAGATTGGGCAGTATATTTATTGGAAAATATGCCAATATCAGAGTGTGTCATATGCTGAAAAGTGGTATAAAGATTATCCTGAACCAGTTACAGAAGGCCATGAGGTTACTATTTTAAGGACTTTATCATTTATTCTGAAAAAAAAAAAAACAACATATGAAAGCTACGTTTTCCACTTCTTTCTTCTGTGACCAGAAATGGCAATTAAAGAATAAAAAAATATGTATTCTCATAGATAGTGCCATCAGATGTAAATATATCTTTTGAAGAATATCAAAGATCTAGACTGATGTATAAACAACATATCCTACCTTTTACCATTTTGCAAATAAATTGTCCTTATCAAATGGAAATTCTTGACTTAAACAAAAATACCTAGGATTATTTTCCACTGTGCAAGCAAATAAGCTCTAGCTTGCTAAAAATGTTCCATACAAAATAGGCATTTAAAATTCATATATTTGGCATATATATATAAACTGGATTTGACATTAAATAACCCACGGTGGTTGATATGCCATAAAACCCAAACAAACAAACAAGGATATTGAAATTGGGAAATTTGGGCCGCTTAAATCTACAGTCGTATCTATAATAATTGGAGTACTGGGTATAATCAAAATAAGCACATATATGAACATTAATCAAACCCCTGCTACCCCAAATTTAAAAATGGATAAAATATTCTGCGCTATGTGAATCTGTCGCATTCATAAGATCTTGTTTATGTGACATTTGATCCTGAATAGTTCATGCGTATCCCCGCGTTTCTGGGTTCGACCCAGAGTTTCTTGATATTAAATGAGAGACAAGCCCACCAACTAAGTGACACTAGGATATAACTATACATAGCCTTATATGGCCACCATGACAATGCCCAATTTGATAAGGGTATACAACGCACATGCATCACAGACAAATGCGGGCAATATGGTAACAGGCTTTTTAAAAAAAACAGCGCCTGACCTTTCGAATTTAGGCCATGTTATTGATACCTGCATATCAAGTAGCTCAGTCTTTTCAGACGATCTAAAAACATATTTGAATTGACTCCCAAGTCACCTTGGCTGCCTCATCCCTCAAACTTAAAAAAAAAAACACGTTCTTGACAACCGGTCACAATGTTCCATGTACAGAAATGTGAAATACTTCAGCCTTTAGGGGACATACGCAACTGGTTATGGTTAAGTAACTGACAAACAGATTTGTGGTACGGAAGGGGATATTTACTGAAGCCCATATTAATTGACAAAGATAAAACGCAAACATGTTAGCACCTCAAAACATTTAAGATCAAAAGCCACGAGAGCCGGTATAGCGTCAGGACATTTATTATAATTATGTTTCTTCATGTAAGTATGTACTCAGATAATATCTGTTCATAAATACATGGTCACCGTGTCACGAGCAATCGTCTTTTTAATCCATATCACCTCAGGTAAGGCAATAAAGCCACAAAGACACAAAGGGTTACAGGGCGTGGACGAATTAAGAACAGAAACATTAGTAATAAGTAGACAAAGAAAAGAGTAATCAGAAGGACAGTAGATAGCGATTGACATTGCATTTAAATTTTTGCAGATTAAAGTTGGCTGGAGAGCATGAAGCCGGAAGGGAGTTCCACAAGCGATAACTTCGAGAGAAGAAACTGTTAGCATAGAACTTACGGCTACATCTAGCCAGCTTAACTGTAAATTGATGAGATCTTGACGCCAGTCTAGTACTGCGCTTAAATTTAAAAGTTTAGGTACCATAATGAAGAGCTCATCTGAACAATTACCATGAAAGTATTTATAGAAAAGACAAGAGAGCCAACCTTAAGGCGGTTGGAAAGTAACTGAAGCCGAGTCCCCAGATCAGGATTGATAATATTGCTGATTCTTCTTTGGATTTTATCAAGAAACTCGAGGTAAATATCAGGGTCACTGGATGATATGTGGCAGTAATATTCTAAGCATGGACGAATGGTAGGCATATAGATATGCCTTTGGTGTAATGTAATTATCCCCTGACTCTATGCGTTCATCATTTTCTGGATTATTATTGCCGTTCCTAAGAAGTTTCCTTTCTGCAACTGTTCGATTGAGCAGTTAATAACAATTTCTTTATCTATGTCTCGATTCGTTCAGGCACTGAACCAATCACACCATCTCACAAAGACAATACGGAAACATGTTAAAATCTCCAAAACATTTAAAATCAGAAGCCACAAGACCTGGTATAGCACCAAGACATCTATTATAATTATTATAGCTTCATGACAGTATTTTCTCAGATAAGATGTGTGTGTGTGTGTGTGTGTGTGTGTGTGTGTGTGTGTGTGTGTGTGTGTGTGTGTGTGTGTGTGTGTGTTCAAATGTAGCAGACGCCTGCTTAAAAATGTAGGTGAAGGAAATATGTATGATTTAGTGTCAACACGGGACTGTGTGGACATCTAAGGTGGCCAGTAGATGATAGAGGGAGGGAAGTATTGAATGTGTCAATGTGAGACTGTGTGGGTCTGCGTACATATTTCAGCTTTGGGAATGGTTCAATATCCGCAGCATCGGTGAATAATAAAATTAATTCCTGGATTTTCATTAACCTGACCGTTGGTTTCGGAAACCAATCTGTGGTTGATTGGGTCAGGAAACGAACGGCTTGTGACTTTGAATGCATCCAAAACGAAACTTCTGTCGTTTACTCACTGTATAGAGAAACGTTCCTATCAGCCTGGTTGATGCTCTACTTCATGAGAGCACTTCAATGCGCCTTCTTGGTCTCACGTTCTCCACTGACTTGAGGTCGAAACAACTACATTGAATCAATTGCTGCATCTATAGCAAGGAAATTTTCTTCTCTGTGTCGCGCCAGAAGGTTTTTCTCGTCTGAGCCCATCCTTTACATCTACAAATCTACCATTCGTCCATGCAAGGAATATTGATACCATATATGGTCTGGTCACTCCGCTTATTATCTCGAATTTCTCGACGAAATCCAAAGACAGATACACAATGTGATCGGTCCTGACTTGAGGTCTCGATTTCAGTCACGTCCACACCGACATAATGTAACTTCTCTTTGTCTTTTCTATGAATATTTTCATGGTATCTACTCTGACGAACTATTTTCACTGGTGCTCAGAGTGCATGAATTTAAGCGTGCTACTAGGTTGGCATCTCGGTCCCACCATTTTTCTGTCGAAACAGTTAAATGTAACTGCCTATTCTATTCCAACAGCTTCTTATGTCGCACTTCCCAACAATGGAACTCCCTTCCTCTTACTTGCTTCCCTGATAGCTACAAGCTTAAAAAATTTAAGTGTAATGTCAATCGACATCTTCTGTTGCCTTGATCCCCGTTCTTCTTTTCATCCTCCTCCGTTTTATTTTATTCTTTTCATCACCACCACCACCACCACCATCACTCTTTCATATACTCAGTCTTTTCCCTTACTTACAATCTCTGTAGCCCCTTGCGAACTCGTGGCACTTTCGCCTTGCTTGGTGTGAATTAATTAAAATAAAAGGTTATTTTTTGCGTTATATACATATCTAGAAATCCGCTTTGAAAGCGCGACGTAGGTTCTCATTGGCTAGTACCCTTATATCCTGGTTAGAAGCAGCTCTTTCTAGTTAACTTGCTAGAATATCAGGGTTGTATCCTGGACGGGATGGTTTATGATTGGTTGGTCGTAATATGATTTCATATCTTGGCACAGGGATAAATATGAAAAGAATTAATATGGATATTAACAATGGGATATATCTGTTAACTGGGATAGACATTAAATGACCGAGATAGATAGTAACTGGAGTAGATATGAATAGAGCGAGCGTGACATAGATCGATATGAATAGAAGTAGATATGAAGAGATAGATAGATAGATAGATAGATAGATAGATAGATAGATAGATAGATAGATAGATTCTGTTCTTAGATTCTGTTCTTAGATAGATTGATTGATTCTGTCCTTAGATAGATAGATAGATTGAGATAGATCGATATATGTATATATGAACAGACTGAGATAGATAGATAGATAGATAGATAGATAGATAGATTCTGTTCTTAGATTCTGTTCTTAGATAGATTGATTGATTGATTCTGTCCTTAGATAGATAGATAGATAGATAGATAGATAGATCTGAACAAACTGATATAGATATCAACAGCAGTAGATGGTTATTAACATAAGTAGATATGAATAAATAAGATAGATAGATAGATAGATAGATAGATAGATAGATAGATAGATAGATAGATAGATAGATATGAATATACTGTGATAGATAGGCACAAAGTGAGATATATAGATAGACAGACAAACATCTTCACATTTTATAAATGTAATAATGCACATATATACAAACGTAGAGAGAGAGAGAGAGAGAGAGAGAGAGAAAGAGAGAGCGTCAATAAATCTATCGATAATGATTGGAATTCTGATTCCGCAGGCATGTCAGTATCGAATCGAACTGACCTGCAGTACCAGAGGTCGTTAGTTGAATCTGTATAAAGGTCAGGTTTTCAATGTTGAATTGAACGGCGGATAAACCCATTTCCCGCGGTGTTTGACAGAACTATTTAACCAAAGTCAAAAGAAGAAAAACAAAAACAAAACAAAAGCCTCGCCTTAGGCCCGCGCTATAAACAGAATCGTTCCACAACTCCGGTATTTTACCAACAAACATCTAGTCCCACAGAACAGAAACAAAAATAAGGATTCTTTTTTTATTATTATCATTATTATATGTTCTATGATTGATGTTAACTTAAGCCAATAACGCCGGTGCGTAGATATCAGAAATTGAAATGAATGACGTAAGTAAACGTCTTAGATCGAATATCTCCAGGAAATTTTCAGTTTTCCAATACAGAATGCAAAAGCCATGTAAGTGAACGGAGTTTGATGATGGAAACTTACTTTGGAATCGATACGAGGCTTCGATGATTAAACCTTAATTTTTCTTTTATTCTTCTTCTTCTTATTATTATTATTATTATTATTATTATATCGTTTGATTTCTGTTCTATGCACATTTCCTGCAGAGTCCCAACCAGCGACCTAACGTCCAAAATGGCTTCGTGACAGTTTCCACTGATCATTTTTATAAAAATAAACAAACATTAAATAATCAAAGATCACACACATTTCCCATAGATAAATTTCTTGTAATGTGTGAGCTGTACTTGTGAGTACATCTTTCTTTAATTCTTTAAGGTATGGGTTACTAGCAATCACTTCAATGAGTCTATCAAAACCGTTTCCATTCAATCCGAGTACTCCAACAACTGAAGTTATTCATGTCCTCAAGTACCACATTTTGTAGATTTCCATTTTAAGTTCCTTGTATTTTGATAGTTTTTTTTATATATTAAAGATTGCAGGAACTATAATAATAATAATAATTATTATTATTATTATTATTATTATTATAGAGTCCAACTTTTCTGATAGGCGTATACAAGGCATATGTTCTATATTATTGGTTCCTGTTACATTGTTTTGAACCGTAATGAAAAATGAAATTAGTTTCGCTTGTTAGATTTCCTCTGTATAGCCATATTCATCTCGATTTATCTAACATTGCTTTGATTTTTCTTCTGAAATGTCCAAAAAATTGTTTTCTTTCCATTCTTACTTTCTTATTGTTGTATCACCTGGTCTCTATTATTATTATTATTATTATTATTATTATTATTTATTGATGAAGCAGCTAGTCAAAAAATCGATTTTGCGTTACAAATATCCAAGGCTCAAGAGCCCCATCATGAAAATCCAGTCTGATAAGGGTATAAAAGTATCTGCTACCCACGCTTGACTTCACCAAGTGTTATGGTGACCTACCTACATGGGAATGAACTCTTCCTCCTTCCATAAATACTAACCTGCGAGACTTTCTACGGGAGACAGTTGACACGCAGTCTCTGAATGTGTGCAACTTCTGTCGAATTCGCTGCTTTGGCAGAGAGTAACCCGGACGAAGCTATGCCGAAAGGCAGAGTTTCGTCCGGGAAGGTAGACAGACCCAAACCCGCTAATGCGGGTTCTGTGGGGATATTTTTGGCCGAGCCTACGGGCTCGGAGAACCCACGGTAAATTCGGCTTTGTACCACATAGATCCCGCATGGTGGTGGGGGATGTTAAATATCGACAGTCTAGACGCAGTTTGGACGGACACTTCAATCTGCTGACTAATCACACTCTTACTTTGTATATATCTGTTATTTCGAGACACTTGTTTAACCTACCTTTTTCTTCCCGTGTCTTTCTTTCTGGTCCCTAACAGGCCACAACACCAAGACGTCGTTAGGTGGCGCTGTTAAAGAGCTATAAGAAAAACGGGACACTTCCTGTCTTTCTCTTTTCTCTCTTTTCCTCCCAGCGTGTTGTTGTGACAACGCCAATATGGAACTATGTGTGGGTGATATAAAGCGAGCGTACATCACCCACACAATTCCTAAATTTTAATGTCTTCTTTCTTTTACATGAATACTAATCTATGTTCTCTCCTTTGTTACTCAGTTTTATAAAAACCCATGAAAATAACGCCTTGTTAAAATTTATTTTGTTTCCTTTCATATCATTTATATCTTATTTTTTGCCACTGCTTTTGGTTAAACTGGGAACACATACTACAACAACAGGCTCATGCATCACAAACAACGTGTGCGATATAGTATCAGAGTTCCGTAACCTATAACAGCAGTGCATAAACTTAAAGGTCAGGCCAGTTAGAAATAAATCGGTTAACAGTCCACCCGGACGGTCTCCAATTGAAAGTTATCCAAAATCTATCGATGTGACTCTCAAGTCATTTCTCTTTTGGGGTAGAGGTAAACATATAATTTCAAGCAAGGTGATAATGCCTCTAGGACGCAAGGGGTTACTTGAGAATGAAAGAGATCGAGAAGATTTTAGTGAGGACAATAAAAGAACAGGTTTCAGTAAGAAAGAAGATGACGATTGAAGTTGTATTTAAAATTTTGAAGATTGTTGGTGGCAAGGAAGCAAGAAACCATAGTATGCCATAAGCAAGAAATGCCAGAAAATAACCGTTCTGGGTATGACGATAAACTACATCCGGCAGCAAGGCATCTGATTCGGAGGTTTTGAAGTGCTTTGAACCACATCTTAATTGCTGTTGTTCCCTGGTCCACTCTAACCCGCGGCAGTAGCACCTGTTAGGGCTCTAGCTATGGGCAAATAGTTAACCCCAAAAGTGGGGTCAGAACACTAAAATAGGTTTCAATACCAGTAATTCATTTTTTTTTTTATTATTAGCAATACATTTTTGAAAAATAAATTATTAAAAAAAAATACCAGTAATAAAAATATTGTCGGCATTAAATAATCCATTGAGATTGATATGTCGTAAAACATAACAAGCCAATATATAGATAGATAGATAGATAGATAGATAGATAGATAGATAGATAGATAAGAAAATACTACCAGTAATAAAAATATTGTCGGCATTAAATAATTAAAATAATCCATTGAACTTGATATATTCTGCAAAACAAAACAAACCAAACCGAACCAGAAAATAAACTGTTCCACCCCTTTTTCATACAAGTGGACTCACCCAGTGTGTACTTGTACTGCTGTCGGTGAATACCCAGAGGTCAGTCAGAGAGGGAGTAAGTGAGAGAGTGAGTGAGAGTGTGAGGTAACCGCTTTGTAGGAATCACAGTTGCGAGCACGTAGACTCAGAAGGAAGTCATACTTCGATACTGAATTTCCCAGACTGTATATATATATATTATTATTGCTACTAACCGCATTTCTGGATCTACTAACCGTATTACCAATTGTATTATTACGTCAATACATTTATTTGCTATATTTCATTCCTGCGTTTGTCATTCATTTGAGACCGGATTTCATCCCGGAATCCACAACAGAAACTATTAAAATAGAATATACATTTGCATACCTCATCTTTCAAACTTACGAGTATCGCCTGAAAAGTCCATAGGCTGACCAAGATATAAGTCTAAGTAGACATACCAGTTGGTAGACGAAAAGAAATGCAAATATACCAGAACAGAATAGCAGAACAACCAGCTGTTGTATTCTGTTAAACTTGCGTGGCTTTTAGTCCACTAACTGGTATGTCTACTTACATTTTTATTTTGGTCAGCCTGTGAACTTTCCAGCCGACCCTCATAAAAATCAACGCTCTTGATAACAAACCGTGATTAATCCCGCTCTTGAATATAGAGACGCAGTGTTTCAATACCTGCTGGAACATGTCCAACTGGTTAAAGTTAGTGCTACTGAACGGGATGTTTACTGCAGCACAGTCTCATTCACCAAGTCGAAACATACATGTTAACACATCCAATCATTTAAGATCAAAAGCCTCGAGAGCCAAGCCTGACGTATCATCAGGACATTTATTATTATCGTTTCTTCAGTTAAATATTTTCTCAGATATGATCTTAATATCTGGTAATTAATGCATGGACAGCGGGCCACAACGATAGTCTAGTGTATCAGCCTGTATGGGACATGCCCATCATTATTAGTAGTAGTATTATTCATTAAGTTTTAAACATCATTAGTAACTAATGGCCTACACTGGAGACTCTACAGTGACATTATGTCTTCTCAATGCTCCAGCACCTTCCACAGTATTTCAGCTGTTTTAAATAATACCACCGCTTAGACACCCCTTTCCTTTTCTTGGTTTCCAGTTCTAACAATCATTTTCTTTGGCTTTTCGGGACCATTCCTAGAAATCATAAAAGGACATCACATATGGATATAACTGTGACCTTCGTTTTCCACAGCTTTCTGGAAACATCAAAATTTGAATATTCTCCATTAGTTATATCTCGTGGCTTTAACTGGAGGTTTTCTTATTGTAAAGAAATTTTAAGAAAAATAGGATCAAAAAGAAAACTACAGTATTTGACGGCATATAAGGCGCACTTTTTTCAGCAACTCGACGTGGTGTAATGATTAGAAAGCTTGTCTTTCTAGTATTAATTACGAGTGAGTTGTGAGTTCGATCCTCACTGGGTGCCCCATACTTTCAGCCTTGTGCCACAACTAAGCCGAACTTAGAAAATCACTATAAGGCGCACTTTTTTTTTTTTACTGAAAATATCTTTTAAAATTGCCCTGCGTCTTGTATGCCATATGTACGTTTACTAATTTTACTGATTACTATTTTTTTTTTTGATTTGCCCTACTGAAATTGGGGTGCGTCTTATCCACCGTCAAATAGGGCAATATTACAATCAAAAAGAGACAACTGATACTTCCGTAACACATAATGAGGAAAGAGCGCTTGGAAAAATTTAACACTCACAGGGCGTATAGAATGAAAGAGAATCTGGAGGAAGCAGCCAATAACCTACTTAACATGTGCGTGTAAATGTATGGCTGAGCAAGGGCAAAAAAGAGTGGGGTGACCGAATGAAAGGATGTTATATAAGCGCCCAACTCGAGAAGAAAAAGACACCGAATTTCTCACATCCTCGTGAATAGAAAATCCGCATTCCCCCCACCACACACACACACACACACACACACACACAATACCACACACTCTTACATCGATATTGTCTAAGTCCAGAAGAGAATAAGCAATAATTTTACGTATGAAATATTTAGCTCTGTTTTGTTAAAAACAAAGAAAAGAGGGCTAGATTACTGTGGTTTTCATCTTTTTATAGGGCAGTACATGTTCGATAATTTCCCCAAGGATGGAAAAAAACCAGAAGCAGGAGAAATGTGTTCCTACAGAAGGATACTGAGAATTCCATGGACGGAGCGAGTAAGCAACAAGAAAGTCTTAAAGAAAATGGCAACAGAAAAAAAAACACTTCTACTCAGAATCAGGAAAAGACAGCTGAAATTTCTTGGGCACATAATCAGGAAGGAGAACTTGGAAAACGTAACCCCCACGTGGTATGTAAAGAGCAAGAGAGATAAGGGAAAGCAACGAGTCACATACCTGACGAGCTTGTGTGAAGAGCTGGCGAAACAGGAGTCAGGGGCTTAGCAAAGGAAGAAAAGGTGCTAAGTGCTACACAATATAGACAGCGGAGAACTATTAAATAATAATTTCAGATTATTATTTTTTGGTGGCAGTGTATTTTGGCTCATACCTTCTGAGGCTGACCTTTGAGGTCAGATGGTAGACAAAATAAGGATGTCGATTTTGATTGGCTGAGCCGGAGTTATAGATTAAGATTTTACGAGGAGTTGCTGTTCGAACGTCGAGCTAACTAGACGTGTCAGATTGCGTTTATGCAAAACCCCTCTCCCCAGTGAGGAAATGCCTTTCGATAGTTGGTTGTTACACGTTAAAGGAAATGGACGTGTGAGTTTTTCGTGTTTGAAAGTGGCTCCCTAATAAGGGGTGTAGTAATCCCCACGTGATAGAAAATGTACTTTTCGACGTGGTTTATAAAATAATCAGTCTGTTATGTGCCATGCGTGATGCACGTTTAGGCGATCATGTATCTTTCGATATATGACTGCCGAGGCAGATTTTTTTTTCCTGCAGTAGGTTGCCATTTTTTTTCTGCGGCAGGCCAGTTTCCATCCAAGACTATAGAATACAGTCTGTCCTGCTATTTACCCATAGCTGGGGGAAGAATAAGAGGATTCATACCTTTCCCAAGTAAATGTAACGGATTCGACTGGAATTCGAAATCGGCTCTCCGATTCCTCAATCCGAGCCGCTATCCATTACGCCACCGTTAAGTTAAAAGTTCTCTTTGTTGATGTTTTTCGTCTCTGAATTCAAAGAACATTTCGCGACATTGACTAACAGAAGAAGATTACACTAAAAACGACCAGCGAGATAACACCGGCTAGACGAGTTAAAAGCAAACCCTCCCCCATTAATGAAGTATATACAACAGAACCATGATCACCTATGTCCTAAAGGAACGCAGCACAGAGAAGGATAATACTCATTAGGGCTTACAGCTATAACGTTAAATTAGAAACTTGAATTACCAAAGATAATATTAATATTTCCTTTTATTCTTAAGAGTAAACACGAAACTTTCAAATGATGGAAGACCCAAAGTAGAGACATTCTATGCTTGTAACACTCATTCGGAATCTGTTTCTAAGCATGCGCAATCTTTACTTACAGAGCTTATTTGTAATGACGTCATTATATCATGACAAAGCAGAATCTTAAATATGGAATCTCACCTTCACTGTTGATAAATCATTTACAATACTATTAAGACTTCATTTTTAGATATTGACTAAACAATGAATTAAACTCATCCATAAGTGCAAAGCCTTTGTATCTGTTCCATCGCTTCGTCTATTCATGCATAAATGTTTTATTTGTCGTCCATAATCAGTAATATGTAACTTATCACGTTGAAACACCCGTTCTTTTTCGATCACCGAAGTTAAGCAACGTCAGTATCTAGTTGGGTCACTACCTAGAGAGATGACTGCTTTGGAATACCAGATGCTATAAGCTTAGATGTGTGGGCGGTGCAATGGATAACGTCTCGGAATACGAAATTAGATAGCCGAGTTTGAATTCTAGTCGGGTGCATTACATTTACTTACGCTCAAATACTCTTGGGTGATTATGAATCGAAAAGAGTCATGATCGCCCGAGCGTGTCACATCCGCCGCTATCAACACGCATTGTGCCGGCGAGGTAGGGTAATGAACCATTCTTCTCTATGATTCAATGGTACGAATACTCTTGGGTGATTGTGAATCGAAAAGAGTCATGATCGCCCGAGCGTATCACATCCGCCGCTATCAACACGCATTTGGCTGGCGATGTAGGGTAATGACGACCCATTCCTCTCGATGATTCAATGGTACGCCTACTCTTAAGTGATCATGAACTTAAAAGAGTCATGATCGCCCAAGCGTGTCACATACGCCCCTACGAACTCGTATTAGACCAGAGCAGTAGGGTAATCGCCCATTCATGCTCATGAATTTTGGAAAGGCCTACGTCCAATAAAGATCCTTCATAGGCTGATAAGAAAGAGACATGACCAAATTCAAAGAAAATTACTTGTAATATTTCTAAGAGTGACACAACCATTCAATGGGATATCGTTTATATTCTTGATGTATCTTTCGCTAGTAGTTCTCACCATCGCTACCAACGGCCTCTATCGTCCATGCAGCCTACGCAGCATCTGTTGATCGTCACTCTCGGGCCGACGTTAGTAAATTCATCCTGGTGAAAAGATTCTGCATCCCTGTATCACGCAGTATCAATTCAAAACTCTGGCTTACGACCATATTATATTTAAACACTCCTTCTTGGTCGATCGCCGAAGTTAAGCAACATCCATCCTGGTCAGTATCCAGATGGATATCCGCTTGGCAATATAAGGTGCTGTAAGCTTAGATGTGCGACTTATGTAACGGATAATGGCTCGGGATAAGAAATTGGATAGCCGAGTTCGAATCCCAGTCGTTTCCGTTACGTTCATTTATGCGGAAATACCTTGGGTAAGCATGAATCGAAAAGAGACATGGTCGTCCAAGCGTGTCACATCCACCGCTACCAACACGCGGTAAGGTAATAATACATTCCTCCCAATGATTCAAGAGTACGCCTACATTCAACAAAAGTAGCTTCACTGGCTGTTTAACAAAAAAAAAAAAGATGTCTAATCTAAACGAGAAAACAAATCTTTTAATAGATCGTGAAAATCCTCAGAAGCACACCAGTCTTGTCACGCAGCAAGAAAATATTTTCCCTTTTGTTTTATGTTCAAGAACATTTCTCCTTAATGCCACCATCCACATTGTTTCTGTTCAATCCCAATCATTATTATATTCCATTTCATTAAGACATATATCGTTATTCTTAGAAGTTCGGTAATAAGTGGGGGTCGGATTTTCCCCAATATGCAATAAATTGGGGGAGGGCGGTCTTAAAGGAGGCGAGTGGAAAATAATTTAAATATTCAAAAACTGCGAAAATAATATACGAGTTGTCTTTTATAGAAGTCAAGAACAGACTTAGTTTGTGTTAACAAACCTTTTGCACAAAAAGAGGGTCCTGGCAAAAGAGGCAAGTGGACATCAATTCAAGTCACGTGTTTCTAAACGAGAACGTAGTAGACAACCAACCTTCTTTCTATGTGCCGTGTCCTTTCAGGACGTAGGCGATCATGGCTCTCCATCTCTCTCTATCCCTTGTAGGCCTCAACAAGTTCCTTCCCTCTGCTTCCTCCCCAAGACCACGTTCTGTCATCCACTTGTTTAAGGCCGCTAGGTATGTCATGCGTTGTTTTCCCTTGTCTCTCTTTCCTTCTATTCGACTCGTGAGTATCAGATTCTCCAGACACTCCTTCCTCATTATGTGTCAGTTGCCTCTTCCTGATGTTAAGTACAAGCCCCCTCCTTGTTTGCATCATAAGACCTCATTGTTGCTCACAGGATCAATCCATGATATCCTTCTGTAGAATCGCATCTCTGTCGCCTCGAGTCTCTTCTTCATCTTTGAGGAAATAGCCCAACATTCGCTGCCAGACAGATGTCACGTAACAGCTCAGTATTCTTTTCTTTGTTACCAAAAAAATCCTGTCTCGCAATACTCTGCCCAGCTTTTAGAATGTGTCATTGGCCATCCCAACACGTCTACGTATCTCAGTGTCGCATTTACCGTCCTCTGTTAAAACACTTCCCAGATATTTAAACTTTCGTACCTGCTTGATTTTACTGTCCTCGACCTGCATCCTCGGGCTCATCCTTTTACTGATGACCATGCATTCTGTTTTCTCGTAGTTTATTTTTACTCCTTTCTTCTCGCCCGCCTTCACTACCTGCTGTAGGGTTTTTGTAATTTATTTTCCGTGTCTGCTATCAGTACTGTGCAACCACATGTTTAAAAAAAAAAAACGCTTTTTAACTAAACAGTAGCGAGATAAAAAAAAATCGTTAAGCCTCTTGAATCTTCCAAATAGTTACAAGGATGTACCTGCGTTTTAATGATTACGCAAAGGGGTTCGACAAAGTACGCCACAAAGATCTGTTAGAACTACTCAGCAACCTTGATACATTTGGAAGATATTAGATCAATCAAGAGCCTACACTGGCAGAAAACCTCCTGCATACGGAGAGAAAATGACTTCCGCTGGTATACAAAAGTAGGAAGGGATGTAAGACAAAGATGTGTCGTCTCGCCAGAACAAAGACACTTTAACAAGGGACACGATATTTATACTCAGAATTTTATCAGAAAGACCAATACAAATACAGAAGGACGTGTACCGGTGTTTTATAGATTACGCAAAGGCCTTCGACAAGCTACGCCACAAAGATCTGTTAGAACTGCTAAGCGACCTTGACGTATTTGGAAAGGACATTAGAATAATCAAGAACCTTTACTCACAGTAAACCGGCTGCATACGGATAAAAAATGTGACCATCAGAAATACCAAAATGGAAAGGGATGTGAGGCAAGGGTGCATCGTCTCATCGGACTTATTCAACTCGTACAGAAAGGCAATTCTCAGGGAATTAGAAGTCCTGTCAGAAGTCATTATTGGTGGCCACAATCATAACCTAAGATAGGCAGATGACGCGGTGTTGATAGCTGACACGGAAAGAAAACTACAGAAGCTCCTGCAGAAGATAGTGAGGGGAAAGCGAGAAGAAAGGACTAAGTATAAACAACGAGAGAGAATGCATGGTTGTTAGCAAAAGGGTGAGCCCAAAATGCAAATTACAAATCGGAGATACCAAAATCAAACAAGTACAGTGTAACCCGGATATAAGAAACCCGGATATAAGAGAAACCCGGATATAAGAGAGCTTTTCTCTGGTCCCAAATTAGAGCCTGTGTTAATGTATATAAAATAGACCAAACCCGGATATAAGAGAAAACCGGATTTAAGAGACTTCTTCTCCGGTCCCGACAACTCTCTTATATCCGGGTTACACTGTAGAATAATTTAAATACCTCGGAATTTTTCTAACAGAGAACGGAAAGTGTGACACTGAAATCCGAAGAGGCATTGGAATAACCAAAGATGCATTCCAAAAGCTAAGCAGAGTATTAAGAGACAGAAAAATTACGCTAGGAACAAAGAAAATAGTACTGAACTGTTACTTGACGTTTGTTCTTTATGGCAGTGAATGCTGAACAATCTCCTCGCAGATGAAGAACATGGAGCAGCAGAAATGTAGTTCTACAGAAGGATGCTGAGGATGCCGTCGATCGAACATGCGATCAACGACGAGGTTTTAGAGAAAAAATAGTACACATACTTAACATCAAGAAGAGATAAATAAAATTCCTCGGGTTCCTACTGAGGAAAGGGGACTTGGAAACTCTGATACTCACAGAACAGATTGACGGCAAGAGGAACAGAGAAAAAGAATACATAACATATGTAATGAGCTTGAGTAAATGGACGTCGGAACAGGGTTCAGATGAAATAAGAAAAAGACAAATTTTATTAAGACATATAAAGAACAGGAAATTGTGGTGAGCCACGATCGCCTACGTCCTAAGAGAACACAGCACATGAAGAAGGGAAATATTTACTCAATCAAGTCATACATTTAACTTGCCACTTGCCGCTCATGACTAAAATGATTACAATAACATATTTATAGCTTTATTTCAAAGATACTGAATAGGTTTTGGTACCTTTGAAATAAAGCTGTAAAAATTTTATTATATTCCTCACATACACACGTATTATGAATGAACAATTCTTATTCTATATTCAGCACACACACGGCAGTCACTGAAACATGATTTGCAAAAATGTAAATAAATTAGATTGATGTTTATTTCATATATATACATATTTCCTTTCTTTTATTCCAATTTTATTGCTTTTTTCTTGCCTGCTGTTGAATTACAATGTGATCTTTTTTCTAGCGGTTTGGTTTATATCAAATTCTTCTCAATGTTTGACAGCCACTCTCTTCTTTTAATGTTGACAGTGGGATGGCTGTCGTATATCACGTATACAAGGCCATCTTTGGAGAGTCATACTGCTACCACAAATCTCTACAATCATTAAATAAACAGCATGGTTCATAAATTAAAAAAAAGAGTAAACACTAGACTTAGTCTTTATTTATGATCCATGAAAGTTGCGATAAAAAACAACAGAAATAAGATTAAAAGGTTAGTTGAATATTAATAATAAAAACATATTTTTCTCATGCGTATATAAAATCAGTGGCACCTCGAAGTGGTGTAATGGTTAGCAAGCTTATCTCGCTAGAACAATTACGACTGAGTAGTGAGTTCGATCCCCATTGGGTGCCCCATACTTTCGGCCTTGTGCCACATCTGAGCTACGCTTGGGAAATCATTAGGGCACCTCGGCGTGGGATATTGGTTAGCAAGTTTGTCTCGCTAGAACAATTAAGACTGAGTAGTGAGTTCAACCCTCACTGGGTGTTCCATACTTTCGGCCTTGTGCCACATCTGAGCTACGCTTGGAAAATCACTATAACATCAGACGTCTTTAGAAATTCGTTTTTTTTTTTAATATAAGAACACCTCACTTTGACACGGTCACTGAACTAAATGCATGTGTCTCATTAAAACTGAGGTATTCTATTGAATAGATAAACACAATACAAAGCAACTTGTGAAGATCAATAAAATAAAATCTTGTTAGCATTACCTTCATTTTGTTTACCAAAACACCTACTAGGTGGCGTTGTTCAGGGTTATAAAAAGAATGGGACAATAAAAGGTTTCTTCTTTTATGCCGTTAAATAAATCAAATCAAATCAGTAGTGGTTAAGACGCATATAAGCTATTGTATCCAGCAAACAAAAAATTAGGTAATGAATAATGTTTCTACCGTATATTACGAGGTTAGGCTTACAAAAATAAGCCGCCATTTTTACGGCACATTTGCACTAGTTTATATAATAAATATATAATGATAAAATAATACAATTATTTTTTTTTCTACATATAACGTGTGAAAACACGTGCGAATCCCTGCTCTCGTCAGCCGGCAACAGTTTCGGTGACTAAAGCGGTACTACAACCTCTGGCACCACCACCAGCCTTTGCCGCCGGACAGGCTATTGTTTTTTTGTTAGTTTTTTTTTTGTTGTTGTTGTTGTTTTGTGTGTGTGTGTGTGTGTGTGTGTGTGTGTGTGTGTGTGTGTGTAGACGTGTCAGTATACGCTCTAAGACAATTGTAATAAGGTGAATCGAAAATTTCATTACATTCACTTACATCCTAATACTCTTGGGAAAGGCATGAATCCATCTCTTCGCCTAGCTACAGGTAAAATAGTAGGACAGACTGGGTTCTATAGCCTTGGTTGGCAACCGGTCTAGGAGAACGGGTACTCTGAATTCAAAACTGTATGTAGCCCTGGCGAAGTACATACTATGCAGCTAAAGCAGGCAAAGGTTTTATAAATTCAGGAGTAATGGAGAGGAATCAGAGGAATCGGAGAGCTGAGTTCGAATTCCAGTCGAGTTCATTACATTTACTTACGTGCTAATACCCTTGGGAAAAGTATGAACCCAACTCTTCCCTATGAGTAAATAACCTGACAGACTGGGTTCTATAGCCTTGTTTGGCAACCAGTCGAGGAGAATGGGTACTCCCAATGCAAAATTGTACATAGCCCTGGCGAAGCACATACTATGCAGCTATAGGAAAGCATCGTCAACATTAACTCTTTTAGTCGCTTTAGATAAGTATCGCCAATATTGTTTTCATGTATTGATAATAATTTCTAACAATTTATAAAAATGAGACCCACTAAGATAAATATCAATATATTCAAGAAATTAATTTTAGTCCAAAAGTCTTTGAAATATCTCAGCAACCTTGTTGATATGAATAACTGAATTCTGAGCCGGTTTGATATCTGACATAAATATTTTGCACTAGAGGCATTAGCTGATACTCGAGGCAGAATTTATTTTATTAATTTTTTTAAAAGTGCCTCGGCCGTCCATACTTGGAAGAGAATTGCATCGGGATCTTCTTTCTCCCATGTGTACTTCCCGGATGAGCGGCTACTGTTAGGGTTATCGGTGTGGACAAGTGCAAGCAGCAAACCGGGTTTAAGTTCAGGTCA